TAATATAAAAATCACTAATAGACTGCCCAAGAAAAGCTTTTTGTAATTGTCTATCTAGAAAGAGCTCTAGGTGCTACTGTATATAGAACAGCTGATCTGTTTAAAATTGAACTAAAGCAAATTAGAGATTGGCAAAACAAACGAGGACAACTAATAATAGCTTAACCACATATAAAGTATCTTAATAGTAGAACAAAATCTAATTATCCTGACCTTAAGAATGAACTTGCAGACTGGGTTTGAGCTTAACATAATGAATTAAAACCAGTTAATCGCAACATAGTACAGATTAAAGCGACAACTTTAGCAAAATCTTAGCAATATATTTTCTAATATCCCAATATTGGTCAGTAGTAAATGACTTTCAGGTTTTTTACAATATTATAATTTTAGTAATCATTATCAACCAACTATTACACAACATCTACCTGCAGATTTGAAGGTATAACGTCAAGAATTTTTAAATCTTGTTCAATATCACTATCTTTAGCAAGATTATTTATTATGTTGATAAGTAATATAGACGAAACCCTTCTTGCTTTCGATATGCCAAATAATGTAATCATTAATAATACAGAAAGTAAAATAGACAGCATTAGGACTTGTAGTTACAAAAAATCTTGTTTTACTGTTGTACTTGCATATATTAGCAAATGATAGTAAGTTATTACTAATAATTATTTTTAAACTAAAGAGTATTTCAAAGCTTTGTTTTCTGCCCAGTATAATAGTTAGAGCAAATAAAAAAAAATAGATAAATAAAACAGAAATGATATACTGAACAGATGCAATTTGGAATAATCGAATACTATGTGCTATGAACTTGTGATCATTACTAGTAATGGATTTATTCAAGGGTCACTTGGTTCCTCTTGTTAAAAATAATCTTTTTAAAAAAAATACTAATATTACAATTATTCCTAGTAGGCTAATATCGAAACTACAACTACTTGATATATCTATTAACAAATTATTTAAAACTAAGGTATTACAAAATTAATTTTTTGTTTTATATGAATTTTTTTTAATTTTTTAAAAAAATCTTTTGAATCGCCAACTATATATTTATTAATAAATCAGGTTTATGTATAATAAATATCACAGATCATAATAAAATCGTATTAAAATGAAAT